AACTAAAGTGCGCTTGTTTTTGTTTAACGATGGTATTTATAGGTATATTATTTCCTTAAATAATATTCCTTCTTCATTAGTTCATTTATGTTCACGTTTTATGCCGGGTTCTGAATATATATTACTAATATTATAAATGCGAATGTTTAGATGTTTGTTTGAAGGTATCTCCAGAACGAATGAACGGATTGGCATATGTATAGAACATAGTCTGGAAGAACACATAGTCTACTAATTATGATTTCTTTTAATTGCGCGAACGGAGTTGCGGGCAACAGCTAGTTTAGTACTGATTTTTTATATACTTACATAATATAAGTCAAAGCACAGATTTCTAAACTGGTTTACTTTTAAAGCATAAATACTAAGAAGTATAGAAGCTTTATGATTAATAATTTTTGTATCTGGTTACATTAATACATAGACGACATTAGACCATTATAAAAGAAAACTCACCCATCGTCGTTTATCGTTTTAAATAGTAGCTTAGTGTGGATTTTTCACACTTAATCTATAGACATAGATGCAGACGCATCTTTCTTAATACTGATTACGATTTATATAATTTTAGACATGTTTGTTATATTTCTTGAATAAATCGCCGAGGGATTCCTAATACAAAACGTATGTTAAGAAAATTATCTAAAAGGAAACTGTTGTTTGTTGTATGTGTATTTATTAAATGTTTATTTTAAATTAATTATTGTATTCACAGATGTTCCAGTGACTTAAATAATTATGACAAATTTATTTTCTTACGAATTTACCTGTTAGAGTTTTTGATTTTTATTATACCATGTTATTTTTGTATAATGATTGAGGAAAACTGAAGAAAGTTTTTCTCGTAGGTACCTTACGGGCGCATGGATCGAAATTTGGCATAGATGTAGAAAACAGCCTGGAAGAACACATATACTACTAATAAATAAGTTTTTTTTTATTTTTAAATTCTGTGCAGACGGAGTTGCGGGCGACAGCTAGTTAATAAAACACTAGGCTATTTTTTTTTTATTTCGCGCGGACTGAGACGCATGCGATAGGTAGTTTATAAAACATATCGTCATCTCTGTCATTATCTTTGACAAAACAAAGATAACAATATATATTTTAAACGGAGATTTTAGAGAAAGCTCAATGGCGTATATTAGTTATCATATATATCTTTTACCTTTTATAACAATACTAGCGGTCGCCCGCGACTACGTCCGCGCGGAATGAAAAAAAAAACATAATTAGTTTGTGTTCTTCCAGACTATGTTCTGTATGTATGCCAAATTTCATCGAGATCTGTTGATCCGTTCTAGAAATGCTTCAAACAAACATCCATCCATTTAAACATTCTGATTTATAATATTAGTAAGATGTTTGAGAAATCCCCTAGGGACAATATTCAAAAAGATACATTTTCCTGTTTGGATTTCTATTATTGTAAAAGGAATTTATACTTGTTGGATATTGTTAATACTGAAACCAGTAGATCGATTAATTCATATACAACATAGCAATTTTATTCTTACTAATATAAATGCTAAAGTTTGGATGGATGTATGTTTGTTATTTAATAACTCCAAAATGGGCAATGGATTTCGGTGAAATTTGCTACATGCGAAGAACATTGTACTTACTACGTTTTTTTTCCCAAACGAAGTTGCAATCAAAAGCTAGTATTATTATATGAGTAATATAACGTAGGCTTTTTTTGGAAACCAATTGTCGTAATTTTATTATAATTAATAATCAAAGATTTTATTTGGTTTGATTAAATTGATTTTCACTTTGTAGAGGTATATCGTCAATTCGTTAACGTTATTATAGAGAAACGCCATCTATTTTTTAACATTGGAAACTTTTCCATTACATTTTTAGTTTGTTAAACAATAAAAAAAAATTAAGCAAACATATTGCAGAAGAGCAAATAAACTCTACATTAAAATATTGATATTAATTTGATTCTTTGTCTCTGTCTATAGTTGCCACCGTTTTCTCAAGTTGAGTAAGTTGTGTTATTAGTTTTAAAGTTCACAAATAGATGGCGCTGTACTAAAATTACGAGAGAAGTGTTACAAAGCGCAGTGGTTAACCAGCAGACTTGTTATATGTCCGTAACATTAGGTTTGACTCCTAACAATGTGCCACCGGGATTTTTATGAAAGAAAACATCGTGATGCTAACTGCTCATCATGTTAGATAAAAATGAAAACGCGTGTGTGAAGTCAACCAGCTCGCATAGCACCAGTGAGGATCAGGACATGTATTAGTTTAGCCAACGTTACTCAAATTTCAACACACCGATAGTAAGGTCGCTCAGCTCGCTTGCTCGTCATCGGTGGCTCAGGGGTCAAGCACTTGACTTGCAATCTGCCGGTCCTGAGTTCGAATCCCGCCATGTACCAAAGTGTTTTTCGATTTCCGATTTACTTATGTACATTTATCCGACGTTCTTACGGTGAAGGAAAACATCGTGCAACCTGCACATATCTGAGAAGAAATTCAAAGCTATCAGTGAAGTCAACCAACCCGCACTTGGCCAGCGTGGTTGACTATGGCTTAATCACCCTTAACTTAGTTTAGGCTCCGAGCCCCTCGGTGGAGACGTATAGTGAGCTGATGTTGATGATGATAGTAAGGTTGTGTTTGACTTATTTTAATATATTTTTTAATAATATTAGCTCCTGCTTTAGTATATCGAATTTCGCTGAATATGAGTTCCCCGGAATTGATTTCGAAAGAATTTCTTTCATTCTATTTTATTTCCGATAATTGCATTGATCAAATTCATAAACTCTTTTACGTGGCGTTAATACAATTAAGACTAGTCTTTGAAAACAAAAGACGTCGCTAACTTCAAAAGAATTTCGCGCCATTATTTCTTTGCTCGGAACAATACGTACAATGCCGAGAGGCTTTCCAAATGAATTCTTAAAAGGCGTTAGATAAAATACATATGTAAGATAAAACAAAACGTCGCAATGCAGACTTTTCAGTTGTTGATATTTTAGAAATTGTTACAACGCCGATCTATTCTGACAACATGCCTTGCTATTCTGACAAGGCGTACTGGTAGGGAATTGTTAATTGGTAAATTAAAATTTATCAACAAAACTATTTTTCATTAGCTCACTATACGCACTACATAATCTACCCTAAGTTCCCCTAAGACCCAGTGCGGGATGGCTTCACACATATCTTTGAATTTCTTTACAGATATGTGCAGGTTGCATCGCAATGATTTCCTACACCGTAAAACACATTGGTACATTGGATGGACATGGATTTGAACCCAAGAGGTACAGATTTCAAGTCAAGTGACCTCTAAGCCGAGGCTCTAAAATTGAGTAGTAACAAAAATTTCACGCCCTTTAATCCTTTGAAATAAAAAAAAAACAAAATGATTTGCATAGGTATATTAGCATTTAAAACACACGGGTTGTACTCCTAAAATCTTAAAAGCGAACGAATTCTATCAGTAAAACTATCGAATACCGTGTACCTCTCAGGGGAAATCATGGGATGGAGGTGTCCAGTGGCATGAGCGAAGGAGCCCAGGGGGATTCAAATAGAGCTTGTACGTGACGTGTGAAGGAATAATTTATTAACCCACAGAATTTGACATTTACTATACAGTCAAAGAATTAAATTACCTTCCCAATTAAGGTCGAATATCGTACTTTAAACAGTGTCAGAATCATTAGTGAGGAGATATAAACTTCGACATTTTAGTAAGGCTAGTGTTGCGTACACCGGCACACTGTCGGATTTTCTTCCTAACAGTATATATGTTGCTATGACAAGTTGTAGTGTATTATGAGCAATACAATACCAAGGTATAAAAAAGGATTTTTTACTATTAGCCACCCTTCTGTCTTGGATCATCGGATAGCACCCACTTGAACTTCATCTAGCGACGCCCTTGTCTATCAGATTAATCTAACGGTAAGTTAAAAAGGTTCCTTAGTGTAAATTTGGTGATAGAAACATCCACTAAGAAATTTCTTACACAACTTTCAGTGTTGCAATTAAATATTTAAATACAACACTCAAAGTGTTCATCTAACGAAGAATTCTAGTTTGTTTAGAAACTCAGAAACAATTCAACCGAATTTTTAAATTCTGATATCAACGAAAATCTGTTTTATTTGAGACTGACGTATACTATATTTGTTTATTTATTAATTTGTATGACTGTAAGGTTTTTTTTAGTAAAGAAATCATATAAAGAGCAAAACGTGAACAAAGAAATATACACTGAAATCGATATTACAAAAGTATTTTGATGTGTTCGGTGCTAATAGATTGTGCTAGGAGCTAATTTATACTAATATTATAGAAAGAAGATTTGTCTGTTTGTTTGTATTTAACAGGCTCCGTAACCACAGAAGCGATTTGAAAAATTCTATGATTGTTGGAAAGTTACATTATTCCCGGGTGACATAGGCTATATTAATTACTAGTTTTTCTTTTAATTCAGCGCGAACGAAGTCAAGGTCAACTGCTAATTCGTAATAATGTTAGTTAAAACGAAGAAGTTCTTATAATTTGGTCACATGAAAATCTATAAATATAATATTATATGTTAGGAAATGAATACCGCAATATGCGATATAAAGACCGCTTCCGAAGATAAAGCTGTTCGCACGACACTATAATATGCACACGTTTGGCTTTAGAAATCCCCAAACTTTTAATAATAATTATAAAGTCAACAAATTTTTACCTTGAAATAAAAAAAAGAGAGAGATGAGAAAGACATGACATAATATATATTAGGAAGCAAAGGCCATTTAAAAAAATCTAGGTAAATAAGGTATAATTTAGTAAATAAAAAAAATTGGTCAAATTCAGTCAATAAGTCGGAAAAATTGAATTCAAAATGAGAAAATTTAAACAATTTTTTTTTATTTTTATTTTTGTTCTTTGTATAAATGCATTCAGAACCCGTAGAACATACTAAAAATTTGTCCTTGCCAAGGACAATTTTCAAGCAATGCAATTGCATAAATACCAAGAAACTGAATTATACGAACCAGTCAAGCCGTGATTTTCACGGCTTACGTAGCCCTTTAAAGGTTTCTTTTCAATTTACAAACCCTTTTGGACTCTTTGAGTAGGTAAGAAAAAATATTGTGATTCTAAAAATAAATTCCATATAACATATTTTTATATATTTTTAATATTTACTTGATTTTATGTTTGGATAGGCTGATATTATCTTTTCTGTTTGTCCGTTTCTTCGCAAATCCACGTTTGTTTTGGATAATCTCCGGAACAGCTGCACCGATTTTGGCGGTACTTTTACTGGAAGGTAGATGATGAGTTCGGGAGTTACATGGTTGACCAATTCGCGGGCGACTGCTAGTTGCTAAATTAACCGTTTCAAGATATGCATAAAAATACAGTCATCCCGCTCACTCTCCATGATTAAAATGGGATGACGATATAACTTTACCGTAATATTTTTAGAGTGTAGATAGCAGAATGAGTGACTCCAGAAAGAATTTACTTCTATTCTTCGACCGACCAACGGAGCCATGCTTCATGCAGAAGGGAGAAGAGAAAGCTGTTTTCGATATCCCTGATCATTTTTATGTTAGTAATAATAATAATAAGACATTTCATCATCAGCTCATCATCATCATACGTATACGTACCCATTGAGGGGCTCGGAGCCTACCCTAAGTTAAGAGTGACTAGGCCATAGTCAACCACGTTGTCCAAGTGTGGGTTGCTTGACTTCACTTATATCTTTAAATTTCTTCTCAGATATGTGCATTTTGCATCACGATGTTTTCCTTCACAGTAAGAACGTCGGTTAAATGTACATATGTAAATTGGAAATCGAAAAACAAATTGGTACATGGCGGAATTCGAGCCCAGGACCTGCAGATTGTAAGTCAAGTGTCAAGTCACCTGAACCATCGACGCTCTCCATAAGACATTTAAGTAATTTTAATTCGAAGTAACAATTGACAGCGTCATCTAGCGGAAAATGTAGATCATTAACAAGTAACTGTATTATAGTAATGAATCTTATTAATTTTATTACAGCCTGAAAAATACAAGGAGTTGAGCAGCACGCTGTCAAGTAGATTCGGGAATGATGCTCGCCGTAATATCCCTGTGCGGAACATCGCCTTGCCCAATCTAGACCTACCTATGCAGCTAGGTTACGACGAACAATTCTCCCTATTTGTGCCTAAGCATCGTCAGATGGCGGGCAAGCTGATTGACATCTTCCTCGGTACGTCGGTATCTTAAATCAATATTATAGATATTAAATATTCTTCTACAAGAAGTATGATTTAAAGCCAGCAAACTTACCCCTGTCTTTTACCAATATTGCCTTCGACGCTGGCAGTCTGGTACATGTTTTACAACCATGACTTTATTTACATTCAACCCGTTTTCTGCTTATATCATCAAAGTTTTCAAGGTAATTAAATAATACTTTATCCATAAGTTCGTGATTATTAATTAAATGTCTAATTAATGAAGTAAAAAGTAAGAAATTATTGATTTTTTTTGCAGGAATGCGCAACGTAGACGACTTGATATCTGTCTGCACTTTTTGTCAGCTACGAATTAACCCTTACATGTTCAACTATTGCCTCTCTGTTGCCCTATTGCACAGGTCAGAATAACTTCAATCATATGACGGACTATTTAATAACCTCTAAACTCATATTGCAAATTTTCGTACTTTGACAGTTTTTTATTTCATTATTAAGGGTCAAGTACTAAATAAGTTATGTCATATGACGATGCTCGTATAATATAGCGACCTTTAGCTTGCACATCTTTATTAAAATCTATTTACTAGTCATTCATACGTTTTAAGAACGATGATATTTTTTACAGACCGGATACAAAGGGATTGAATATCCCGACCATTACTGAGACGTTCCCGGATAAGTTCATGGATCCCAAAGTGTTCCGTCGCGCGCGTGAGGTCTCTACCGTCGTCACTTCTGGCCCCAGGGTGAGTTAATTAATATTACCTTCTTGTCTCGTTCTTAATTTAAAAACTTTCAAAAGTAGTTTCTTGTGTTAAATTCAAAGATGTGTATGAAGTCAAGTGCAAGGTCAGCGTTGTTGACTATGACCCAGTCACTCCTAGCATAGGGTAAGCTCACAGTGGGGACATGAGCCTATTACGATGTACTGTAAAGCGACATAACTAGTTTAAATATACAAAGTAACTTCGAAACTAAGGCTCTATATGAATTATAACTTTGTGTTCGTATAAATAATGTTATTGTATTAAATTTTCATATAAAGTTTTACGACCATGTTTGAAACTAACTAATCACTGGATAGTTATATAGTTTATGCCGAGAATTTAATTTTTATCTGACTAGTGACAATTACTGGTGTATTTACCTTATTCATTGTGACGTATGTTAATATGTTGTAATGAAGATTTTCTTTAATATATTGTTAACCATAATTCACAATCAAAGATTTTACCAAATGTTACGTCTGTTCACACAATTTCCTTAAAAAGGGCTTAACACTCCAAAGTTATTGATTCGCGTTTCGACATAATGATTTTATTAACAGTTGCCGGTTGTGTTACCACAAAACTACACGGCATCTGATGCAGAGCCGGAACAGCGCTTGGCATATTTCCGCGAAGATATTGGCATCAACCTGCACCATTGGCACTGGCATCTCGTGTATCCGTTCGAATCGGCGGACCGCGCTATCGTTGCCAAGGACAGACGCGGAGAACTACTCTACTACATGCATCAGCAGATCATTGCCAGGTTATTTTAGTTGATTTAGTTTTTTAGGACCATACGAGCTGGTTCTACTAATGTTAAGTGATCCGACCCCCAAGAACATCGGTAGTACCAAAGGAACCGCAGATGCGTCGCTGGCCTTGAAATTCCTTCTTTGAGCTTCCTTCATATATACTATCTATCGCCCGCGACTCCGTCTGCGAGTAATGAATAAAAGAAACTTAATTAGGTGCCTATGTGTTCTTCCAGGCTATATTCTACATCTAGGCAAAATTTCAGCGAGATCATCAGCCGTTTTAGAGATACAAACAAATATGAAGACTTCCAATCATTAGCATTTTTAATACTGATAAAATAGTAATAACCAGACATGTTATAGTAAATGTTTCTTCCTGGATGTAGAACTGATGAATAACAAAAGACGAGGTTAGGAGCAGGGAGACCATAAACAATATAATGCTTATATCCTTTAGTTATTAAATCTTAAATTATATTTCAGATACAACATCGAACGTTTTTGTAACAAGCTGCCTCGTGTAGTACCTTTTGGTTCAGATTTAAGAGAGCGTATCGCCGAGGCCTACTTCCCCAAACTCGACTCACAAGTCGCTAGCAGAGCTTGGCCTCCAAGGTAAGTACTACATATAACAAACTATTTATAAATTTTGAAGAATGGATTTTAAAATGGTTTGTTTTAAGGTTCGAAGGTTCGGCAATTCAAGATCTCGACAGACCTGTGGATCAAATCAAAATTGACGTGTCAGAGATGGAAACATGGAAGGCGCGTATTCTTGAAGCCATTGAGAGCAATTCTATTCTTTTAGTAAGTTTATACTTCTCTGCGAAGAAATTATATGATATCTTACTTCTTACTAATATTCTTACACACAGAAGACAGGCGTGAAGTGGAAGCAATTCCGCGTTTCGTATGATGAGGGTGCGTCCCGGAGGCCTATATTAGTCCTCTTTCCCTTCCCACCCTTTTTATTACAAGGAAAGGATGGGAGGTGGAAGCGGACTTTCCGGATGACAGGATGCTTGGAAATTTTTTCTTTCTGTGCATCCTCTTCTCCATCGATTAAAGGTAGGCAACGCATATGCAATTGCGTATGTCTATGGGCAACGGTCTCTTCGCTATTTCAGCGATTTCAGGTGGCCGCTCGCTCGTTTGCGTTGTGATATAAAAAAATAATGATAAAGATATATCCGGAGCGGCTGAACGAATATCGCTGAAATTTGGCATAGACGTAGAACGTAGTTTAAAAGAAACATAAGCTACGTGGGCGATAGTTAGTAGCATATAAATTTGTTGGAAAATAATGTGACATAAAAATATTTTTCGTAGCCGAATGGACGTCAAATGCCACTTGACGAAGAGAAGGGCATTGATATTCTGGGAGATCTGATGGAGGCGTCAATACTTAGCCCAAATCGCAACTACTACGGCGACTTGCACAACATGGGCCATATCTTCACGTCATATGCTCATGATCCGGATCATCGTAACTTGGTAAGTTTTATGAACACGCGTAATACACGTAAAATATTTTTGATGAATTTATTTTTCTTATAAAATTGAAGCACTAACAAATTGATTTATAATATTAGGAACAATTCGGTGTGATGGGAGATCCGGCTACCACAATGCGTGATCCCCTATTCTACCGCTGGCATTGCTTCGTTGACGACGTTTTCGTCTTGCACAAGAACAAATTGCCTCCTTACGGCAATGACAAGGTAATAGCATCTTACTAATATTATAAAGACGAATGTATAGATAGATGGATGGATGTTTGTTTGAAGGCATTTCATGGCTGCACAGATCTAACTGAAATTTGGCATAGATATAGAACATAGCCTGGAGGAACTCATAGACTACTAGGTTTTTTTTAAAATTCTGTGCAGACGGAGTTACGGGCGACATCTAGTTAATAATAATAGTAATTAAATCGCTACAAAATCTTGGTGCTGTAACAAGAATGATGGAGTATGTAGAACCAACATAGCGTGATTAATTGTTTAATTTAAATGCAATGGGCAAATATTCTGATGATCTTTATAAATGTCAATATAAAACTCAAGGCTTATGATTTTTTTCTGGCGTGAAAGGTTTAAATTAAATTGAATTATATTATATTGTGTAGTTGGACTTCCCGGGTATTCGCGTGTCGTCTGTATCCGTTGAAGGCAAAGCTGGAAGAAACACATTCGCGACTCAGTGGGAGCAGAGTACGTTGGAGTTGGGACGTGGGTTGGACTTTACGCCTCGTGGCAGCGTGTTGGCACGCTTTACTCATCTACAACACGAAGAATTCAATTATGTGTATGAATATTTTAATCTTAAAGCGACAATATTTTAACAAAAAAGGATTTATTAATTCTTGATTAGTATAAAGTAGAGTGAGCACTCGACCTGAAAGGAAATTGGAAACGCCTGAGCATCATAATTACAGGAGTCTCATACGTACCACGTACGTATGGATAGCACCAATTGTTTATTACTTCATATTTCTTTGTTTTTGCAGTATCGAAGTCGATAACTCATCAGGACAAGCTGCTATGGGAACTGTGCGTATATTTATGGCTCCAATTACTGATGAAGCAGGAAACAGGTTCTCCTTCAATGAACAGAGGAAACTCATGATCGAATTGGACAAATTCTCGCAAGGCTGTAAGTATCATGAAATTCTAAAGGTCTTTCTATCAAAATTTTTTGCTTGATATACGCCGAGGATTTTTATAAGAGATTTTAAGTTTTCTGATGATGAGTGACAAATGTGTCAAATGATAAATATTATTAATGAAAGATATGCAATTTTATATTTAAGTAATAACTTAAGAGATTGTTTTTTTTATAGTACGTCCAGGGAAGAATACCATCCGTCGTCGCAGTGTGGACTCCTCTGTGACAATACCGTACGAGCGTACCTTCATGAACCAGAACAACAGACCTGGTGATCCTGGCTCTGCGGAGGCAGCAGAATTCGACTTCTGCGGCTGCGGCTGGCCACACCACATGCTACTACCTAAAGGCACCAACAATGGATATCCGATGCAACTCTTCGTTATGGTGTCCAACTGGGCTGAGGATGGTGTAAGTCATGTTGATAAAACTTTTTAAGTTATGATACAAAGACAGGTGGCAAGTATCGAAAACTTCCTTTTTCTCTTTACATATCTGTCATGCGTAGTCAAACCGGCCTGCCAGATACAACAACGCCACAGACAATTTACTTTATATTAGACTAGCTGTCGCCCGCGACTCCGACCGCGTGGATGTATAAAAAAAAATTAGTGTAGCCCACCCATCCATCCATCCACATCCATCTAAACATTCGTATTTATAATATTAGTAAGTTAAACAAAAAGCAGCTCTTCAAGGCATAAATTGGAAAAAAACATGAATAAATAGTATCCTATGTCCGTCTCCTGGCTCTCAGCTACCTCCTCACCAATTTTCAGCTATATCGGTAAAGTCGTTCTTGAGTTATAAATAGTGTAACTACCACGACTTTCTTTTATATATATATAGATATAATCACATCGTAAGTCTTTGGGAAAAAACCGGATGTGAGTAGACAAAGAACAGAAAAAAAGAATAATGTGAGAGGTTAAAAGAAATAATGGATTTTTTTCACAGATTAAACAAGATCTTGTTGGATCCTGTAACGATGCTGCATCCTACTGCGGAATCCGAGACCGCAAGTACCCTGACAAGCGCGCTATGGGCTTCCCGTTCGACAGACCTGTGGCTGCAGGAGTGCAAACTGTCAACGACTTCTTGAGACCTAACATGGCGGTCACTGATTGCAAGATACGCTTCACTGATGCCGTCAGAGTCAGAGGTGGACAGTAATGACATTGATGCTACACTAAATGGAAATGGCAACGGAAAATGAATATACGTATTTAATAAAGTAGATAAAATGGGTCAATTTATTTATGTAAAGCTCTGTAAATATTTGTACATAGTTTATTATTTTATAATTCATAAGACTGAATAAATCTAATCTTTCAATAATAGTGTTTTTATTTTGGTTTATTTACTTCGGCACTTCTTTAAGTGTTTCAATTCCTTGTGGCCCAATAACTCTAAATTTTGTGGTTCGACGTTATTAACTAAAGGAAAAACACCATGATGCAACCTGAACATATCTGAAAAGAAACTCAAAAATATGTGTGAAGTCAATCTATACTGGGCCAGCGTGTCTATGGCCTAGTCACCCCTGACTTAGGCTTGGTTTCGAGCCCTTCAGTGGGGACGTATAGTGCGCTGATGATGATGTGTAACGTTGTATCTATGTATATAAAAATCAATTGCTGAACGTTAGTCTCGCTAGGAGCGTCGGTGGTCAAGCACTTGACTTGCAATCTGCAGGTCCTGGGTTGGAATCCCGCCATGTACCAATGTGTTTTTCGATTTCCGATTTACACATGTACATTTAACCGATTCCAATTATATATATATGTAATTGGAATCTCGGAATCGGCTCCAACGATATTCATAAAATTTAGTATATAGGGGGTTTCGGGGCCGATAAATCGATCTAGCTAGGAATCATTTTTAGAAAATGTCATTTTATTCGTGTTTTATCGATAATCAACTTAAACATGAACTTAACTTTTTCTATCGGTAAGATCGAAAAATATTATTCATATTTCATCATTTTATTAGTAATTCGTACTTAAATATAATTTATAAAAAACACAATAAAAAAAAATACCGAGCAAAGCTCCGTCATCCAGGTACTAAATTTAATTTGTTATTTTAATATAAATAAATGAAAGTTATTTATAAGTCTCTTGTGAAATTAATTTACGTTTAAAATAAACTTCTGACGTCATTAAGATAGACAATACTATCCCTTGAAGTGTAATTTGTGGTTATTAATTACTTCGTATAAATAGATTGATTTACGTTCTCTATAATTTACTGATTTATATTCCTCCAAAGCCTTTGTAAGATTCATAAGTGTTGTTTGTAATGTGATAACCTTGCTATACTAGTAGCAGTTGTCTTTTCATTCATCATCATCATCATATTCAGCCCCAATTCGTCCACTGCTGAACGTAGGCATCCCCCATCGATTGCTACAATGCCCGGTCCTGTGCCGGTCACATCCAGTGCACTCCCGCAACTCTTGTATTTTCATTACAATAGTTCAACTTTTAAAATACAGTGCAATCCAAAAATGTATGCAAATGCAAGCATCAAGACCTTACAATTTTATTAAAATTATAAATGCGAAAGTTTAGACGGATGGATGTTTGTTATCTTTCGTTAAGGTATCTCCAGAATGGCTGAATTGATCTCGCTGAAATTTGGCATATATGTAGAACATAGTCAGGAAGAAATAGACATATACTTAGCTAGCGCGTACCATCTTTCGACCACTTTAATCAGGTCGGATCGTGGTCAATCTGGCGTCAGCTCGCTTCTATAGATCTATATATATAAAAGAAAGTCGTGTTAGTTACACTATTTATAACTCAAGACCGGCTTTACCGATACGGCTGAAAATTGGTGAGGAGGTAGCTTAGAGCCAGGAGACGGACGTGGGATAATATTGATTCTTTTTTTAAATTTATGCCTTGTAAAGCTGCTATTTATTTTACTTACTATTATTATAAATGCGAATGTTTAGATGAATGTGATATGGATGGATGGATGGGTGTTTGAAGATATGTCTAGAACGGATTTTTTTTTAATATCATAAGGTGGCAAACGAGCGAGCGGTCACCTGAAATCGCTGAAATAGCGAAGCGACCGTTGCCCATAGTCATACGCAATTGCATATGCGTTGCCTACCTTTAATCGACGGAGGAGAGGATGCACAGAAAGAAAATATTTTCCCTTTCCATGCATCCTCTCATCCGGAAAGTCCACTTCCACTTCCCATCCTTTTCTTATAAGAAAAAGGGTGGGAAGGGAAAGAGGACTAATATTGGCCTCCGGGACGAACACTCATCAGACGAAACGCGGAATTGCTTCCACTTCACGCCTGTCTTCTGTGTGGTCGTGGTATTTCACCGGGCGAGCCGGGCCGATTCGTGCGAAGATGTTTAAGCGGGCTCTACCACTGTTAAACGGATGAAGGATCTCGATTAAATTTGGCTTACGTATAGAACATATTCTGAAAGAACACGTAGGCTACACTTATTAAGTTTTTTTTATATTCACGCGGACGGAGTCGCGGCGACATCTAGTATTTTGATGAACATACGTCTGATGTAAACATGGTTTGTTGTTTTAGTCAGTAAAAACTTTTTTCAATAGCAAAGCATCTAGACTGAAGTGAAATGTATATGTAACGCATAGATGCGATAAAAATAACCTGTTCCTAATAGTTTCCATTAATACCATATCTTGTGGTTAAGTAATCGCTTCTGAATACTTTCAGTAAAGAAATTTGTGTGTTTATAATGGACTTTCTTAATTGTATAAAATATTAATTTAACATTCACCAAGTATAATGTGATAACACAAAGGTATAAAATATGAATTATTTCTAAGATTTAATATTCATAATTCATCATGGCTCCAACAAATAAGGTAAGACATTAAAAATCGAATTATTTAATACCGTATGTTTCTAAGACTAAAATCTTCGACGACAGAAATTGATGTCTTCTTTTCTGTCAAAGATAATGAGAGGGAGAACGATTAGTTTTATACAGAGATTTAAGGTCTCAGAAATCCACGGTAAGTCATACAAGGGAATTAAATGAACAACGAACGTAGACCTATTCAACTGTTAATTCTTGGCCTAAATACTTTTTACTATGATATTGGGTAGTGCAATTTTCTTTTAAACTAATACAGATCTTTTTCTTTCAGATCGTTGTCTTATGCATCTTCGCAGTTTGCGTCGGGATGGCAATAGCTCAATCATCTGAAACTGCACAACCATCTTCAGAGGCCCCAAGTGAACCGTCATCTTCAAAACCTGAAGAAGCCTCGTCTGCAAAACCTGATGAAGCCTCTTCTGCAAAACCTGATGAAGCGTCATCTTCAAAACCTGAAGAAGCGTCATCTGCAAAACCTGAAGAAGCGTCGTCTGCAAAACCTGAAGAAGCGTCGTCTGCAAAACCTAATGAAGCGTCGTCTGCAAAACCTAATGAAGCGTCGTCTGCAAAGCCGGATGATTCAACAGTTTCTTCAACAACAAATACTCCTTCTACAAATGCAGAAGTTAGTTCCACTCCAACAATCGCACGAACACCAGCACCTTCGAAACCCGATGAAGTTGTAATTGAAACTGTATACTACGTGCCATCATATCGGGTACATCGACGTCCTCGGCCTCATTTTTTTTATAGGTAATACATTATATGACAAAAAATAATTTGGATTATTATATTTTAAATAAATCTGTGAAATTATATTGTGTTCATTAACTTACTAATATTATGAATGCGAATGTTTGGATGCATGGATAGATGTTTCATTGATGTATCTCCAGAACGGCTGAACACATCCCGCTAAAATTGGCCATAAATCTAGAACATAGTTTGGAAGAACACATATTGGTAAGCTTTTTTTCATTTCGCGCGGACGGAGTCGCATCGCATTACTTTACACATTTAGAGGATGAAAACAATTTCTTGAAATACTAAGCTATAGAATGTGACATGGACGTTCTTAAGGTTCTTACACTGCAAGATGTAAAAAATATAACGTAACTACCTTAGAAATACGTCGAAATCGCCAAGACTTATTATGGCTTCATAAAATTGTATATATATCTAGAACGGCTGAATGGATCTCGATTAAATTTGGCATACGTATAGAACATAGTCTGAAAGAACACATAGGCTAAACTTCAAAGAAATTACAACACTTACATACAACAATTAAAAATACAAAAAAACGTACGTACGGGTTAGTGAACGGATAAAGGCTTGCCTCTTCACTAGTCGACTTGCAAGAAAGAGAAGAAGAAGGATAACTTTAGTAAGTATTAGATAATCCGATGATAATACGTCTTATGTGAACATGTTCTATTGCTTTGGTTAATTAATTAAAAAAAACTTTTTTTAAGTAGCAATTTACCTAGAGTCAATTAAAATTTGGACGTGATAAAATAATCTATATCCTAATGTTTCCATTAATATCATATCTTGTTGTTAAACGATTGCTTCTGATTATTTTCAATGATTGTATAGAAAAATAGTTTTATAATGGACTTTGTTAATAGTATAAAATATTAATTTTACATTCACCAAGTATAATGTGATAACACAAAGGTATAAAAGATGAATTATTTCTAAGATTTGATATTCAGAATCCATCATGGCTCCAACAAGTAAGGTATGTTTTCGAAATAAACAATTTTTAAATCCAATTCTTAATATTAATATGTAACTTAAAAGCGTCAATAGCCTGATGGTTAAGGGTACAGATTTCCGATCACAAGGTCGGGGGTTCGAATCATGCCATTCTATTATAAACCATATCCAAGCACAAGTCTACAGCTTAGTTGGAATGGTAAAAGAAATATTAGTAAATTTACAAAAAAATCTGCTCATATTAAAAAAAACTCAGTTTGCTTTCTACAAGCGAATATTCGTAGACGTATTTAATTCTTAATTTTTAGCCTAAACAATAGCCTCTTACAATTTGTCGTGCAAATACAGAGTTCTTTTTTTCAGGTCGTTGTCCTATGCGTCATTGCAGTTTGCATTGGTATGGCTATAGCTCAAGCATCTGATGGTGCTAAACCAAATGAGTCGTCTTCAAAGTTGGATGAATCCAAAATTTCATCCGCAAATGCACAAACCGGTCCGCCAATCGTAGTGAACCGACCGCCTCCGCCCGGGAACGTTGTAAATGGAGGCATTCAGAATGCACCATCATATCTCTTGCATCGACGTCATAACGGTTAATTTTATATATAATAGATAATACATTCTCTGACTAAAATTCTTCATCATCATGCCCTTATCCCTACTGATTGTTGGCACAGTATGTACTATTCCTTCCATACTTCTCTAACTAAACCTCTCTGACTAAAATTTATT